GGTTTCCCACATCTCTGCAGTTTTCTATTTAATAAAAAGCACAGGTTTGACTATGGCCATCCCTTCTATTGTATGGAGCCATAAGCTGTGTCAATGCGTGCCTTTATATTTAAGCAGCAATCATTTGTTTGTATGAAAAGCCATCATTCACATTCAGGAGTGTTTGGGTCTGGACTTTGGGCTTCCCTTCCCTAAAAGATAGGGGACAGCTGTAAAATAGGAAGCTGAGATTCCCAAAGTTTTGAGTGTATTTGTATTTTTTTGTTTAATTGCTACCACTGTACATCCATTTTTCTGTTTAATGTATATAAAATTAAATATCATAACTATGAGAAACTCCCAAGGATCTCTGCATTTCTCTTCAAAATCCATGTGTAAGATATTATTTCTCTGAGTGTGAGGACAGGCTTGAACTGTTCCAAGAATGTCACTTATTTGGGAGCCAGTCACAATTGTTCCTGGTGGCACCCTGTTTGAGAACCGCTATTGTACTGCTTCATCTTACCTGGGTGGTTCTCAACTGGGGTACTGTTACTGTGGCCAGGTGAAACTGGCCCAGGCACCTCTGTTTCCATGAGGAGCATGCAGGGTTGGACTGGGAAGGGCTGTGGCAGCACTGAGCACGCTTGCATGCTTTAGTTTTACCAGATAACCCCAATGCAGGCAGGGGTGCATGCTTCTGCTGCAGCCCTTCCTGGTCTGGCTGTGTACAAAGCATATAGGGCAGTTCTACCTGGTCACAGCAGTGGCACACTGTGGCATCCCTGAAAGGCTCTCATGGAAGCCCAGGCTGCTGCAGCACCCTGATTTGAGAACCACTGGCTTAGGCATTTGAGGTTTTTTTGAAGTAACAGATTCAATCTGACTAGCTCTTCATGCCCTCCCATCTGTGGGTTGTTCCAGAGCGTGCCATAACTAAATGTCCTAGCGGGACTGTCATGTCTGGTTTTTACAACTGCAGGTATGGCTGCTCTGGTGGATACAGGGAAAAGTGAGGTAGATAACAAAAAACAAAAAAAAAATCTAGCTCTGAATTGAATGGGGGTTGTCAAAAGCCTAACTGGGGTGACTTCAATTTGCTATTTAAGATAAAGCAAATCCAATACTTTCTAAAAAAACCCAGTCCTAACAAAGTGAAGCTAGTGCTTCCATGATCAGTATGGTAACTTATTATTTTTGTCTCTTAAAATATGTTTCTAGCTAAAGGAAGCCAGGGTAAGGATGTAACTGCGACTACGTTGTTTTCTCTTTCGCCACCATCTCATATTTTTTTCCCAAACGTGTTTAATCATTGAGTGGTAGATTGAAAGACCCAGCAGCAGGGGGGCCACACTTTTCTGGTCGAGACCTTGAGCTCAGATGCTTTTGTTGATAACAACATAAGTGGAAAAGGACACAGCTCATGCTTGCTTAGCTATATTGGATAAGGGGGTTAAGAGGAGCAAACTCTTACTTTTGTCAGTATAGTACTAGATATTGTGAGCCAGTTTCAGACCTAGCATAAGTTAGCTCTGGTTTCAGCGAATTTTACAGAATCAGAGGGTATTATATTGCTGCCAGAAGACCTGTGTTTTTCCAGAAGAATACCATGCACAAGTTATCTTTCTGTAAAGCCTTAGTAGAGACAAGTCCATTTTTTGTGTATCGCTAGGCAAGCTATGGGAAGATATTGTGTTGACCTCACCTAGCTGCTTCCCAATAAAAGGCTTCATGTCCGCTGGGATTTTATACTGAGATAGGTCACTGAATCCCATTATACAATGGGTATCCCACTGTAAGGACACACCTCTTTTACTATTAAGAACAGCTGGCTGTAAAGAGAACCTCTAAAAGTAAAAAGGACAAGATATGCTTTGTCTTTTTATAGATTCATAGATGTTAGGGTCGGAAGGGACCTCAATAGATCATCAAGTCCGACCCCCTGCATAGGCAGG